ATTTGTACAATAGGAGAAATCAGCGATTGTGAAACTGAATGCTGATTCACGTGACTAAATATCTAATAATTTATGTAATTTATGATAGGCCGGTATATATATTTAAGCATTAATTTTTGATATGATTAATTTGACTAATTATATATATAATGAATTACATATAATACTTAGAATAACAGATAGAATGGTGAACTTAAACCAAGAATTCAAAAGTTTAAAGGTTAGTTTTCAATTTTGAATCAATCAAAATATCCATATATATCATTAATGGATCCAAAAAAAGCTTAAATTTTACATGAATTTAATTTTGCTCATATTATAATTTATTATCATAAGAAAAAATAATAACAACTTTGAAAACTATGGAATGATTTTAATGAACTTTTGCATAAAAAAGAAACTTCTGGATTAAGTTTTATCAAAGGCAGTTTAATGATTAGTATATTTTTTAACACTATCTATAGGTTGTTTTACAGCAATTATATAATTCGTAGACCACTAATAAATTGCGACTGAATGCGACTGAAAATATTTTATAATAAAATTACTATAAAATATTGCGACTGAATGCGACTGAAAAATTATGAATTATGAAATTAGCTGTAAATCAAAATTTTTTTGATTTATATACCGTCACAGAAATGTCGATCAAACAGATTTTGATAACCATTTAGAAAATAAATTTAAGATAACTATAAAAGCTACCCCATTCATAAACTATTTTTTGATTTTAATATTCTATCTTCTAGGGTATGGTACGAAATCCCGAAACCCAAATTCCCGACAGGACCAAATCCTGAAACTCAAAATCCCGACAGGTCCAAAATCTCGACAGGTCAAAATCCCGACAGGTTCAAAATCCCGACAGGTACTAAATCCTGACAGATGATGTTACTGCCAATTTCGTAAATAAAATTAATGAAAAACTAACCTTAAATATAGTATTTAATAAAATTTAATTAAATTTAACATTAAATAAAATAGAACAATATATATCGTACCTGTCGGGATTTCATACCTGTCGGGATTTTGACCTGTCGGGATTTTGTACCTGTCGGGATTTTGGGTTTCGGGATTTGGGCCTGTCGGGAATTTGGGTTTCGGGATTTTGGACGGCACCCATCTTGTACAATTTGTATTAGATCACTTACTTTGAAAAGGCAGGAATTGTATAAGGAAATTGCGTCTTCGGTTGATATTACTTGTCCAAAACTAAGTAGTTCAGAGAAAGTTAGACTAATAAATAAGCTTACTTTTTATTATTCTCGTTATTGATGTTGTTATTACATTTTTTATTGTTTTATACTTACAAACATTTGAAATCTCAAAAAAAGATGGTTTTCAAAAAAAAGAAGCGTGATTAGATAAGATAATGATAATGCGCAATAAATTTATTAAGAATATGTTTTTATTCATTGAAGCTTTGGCTTATTTAACACTTAAAAACTGTAAAAGGATTAGATAGAGAAAATGATCCGTTTTTATATTTGATTCGGACTGCGCAAGAAGACGAATCGTTAACCCTTTATAGATAATCTCCTTTATCTCGTAGGGTATTTTACCTAATTGTAATAATTATTCGAAGACGCACGAACTGATTAACATTTAAAAACACATCAAAAACGGAATTACCTATTCCCATCCATCCACATAGATCGAGTCAAAACATGCATGACAAAGGCAGGAATTTTTACTAATTGATCATAGTAAAAAAAGTGATTGATAAAACTGCATATCTAATTAGTAAATTCATTAGACCCATATGATTCCGGAAACACGCGACTTTGCATTTAAAGATCAATTCCAAAACATGAAAAGTATTCTCTTCAAATACAACGAATAATCATAACTATTAAAATACGATAAAATTAACACATCATAAGCTGATTCATATATTAATATTTACAAATCATACTGTATGAGCTCAAATCAATTTCCAAAGCATACTGCTTGACTCGATCTTTTATCCAGCGTGGTTTAGCTTTGGCAACAGTATTGTGGGAGGAATGAAAGGGTTATTATCGTACAAATTCTTTGGTAGGACAAAATAAAGAGAAATTTCATCCTTCCCTGACTTGCCACCTAATTTGTCGACAAGTTTTTTCAACCCATTCAACTTAATAGGGTGTTTCTTAGCAGCGGTTATCTGAAAAAGTTTATCAGGTGCAACAATAATATCTATAGACTCAAAATTTTGATTCATTGGTTGATAATACTTGCTGTTTTCGATAGTATCGATTGTAGAAACATAAGCTTCTCATCCTGCTTAGGAAAATGAATGCAAAAGGATGATGTAGTGGATTGGTTTAAAGGACGAACCCTGAAATTTCCTCCATTTCGTAACGTTAGTACAAATATGGAGGAGCTTGTGACTCATGTCACTTAGATGGTCACTTTCGCCAATATAATTCAGTAATCTTTCATCGCATGTGTCAATTGCATTTTGGGGTGACTTTTGCTGTGATTCATCATAAGCCTTCTCTAAGATGAACCGAGGGATCCCTCCCCATTGAAAAAATAATTCCTCAACCATACTTTTCTCAAGATTATTGAAGATCCTATTCCTACATGCATTGATTTCTTCCCATTTTCAAACAGGCATATACCGTATAGTCGTCCCAATAAGCTTATCAAAATTTCTATAGTGATCTTTCTTTGGTGAACAGACAAGGATTGTTTTTGCATCAACTCTCTTTGGTTCTTTGCCATCCACGATATACCAAACTTCTGGGTTACATTGGTATTGTCTAATTACGGATTTGTCGTTAATAAAAAAAAGCTTCTTCTTTGTCAAACACAATTAAATCATCCATAACATAGTTGTCGTATATAATCGTTTTCTTTTGTATTGCAAGTAGATAAATCAAGTAATAGCTGAAAATTGCTTTTCCAATACCTGGATTTCCGGTGATACGCAATCTTTGGGTTTTCCTATTAAAAGCAATATCGGATAAGTCTCGGTAGCATCTACGGATGAATAAAATAGTTGGTTCTAACGATTCTCCTAAAAAATGTGTGTTCTCAGGGAGCTGGAGGAAATTTCCGTGTTCAATAATCTTAGCATCCTTTAAAGTTTTCCAAAATTTATTCAGATTTTCTGTGCGTTGGTCTATATCGGAATAATGTAGGTTTGGTATGAGTAAGTATTGGTTACTAGTTAGCATTTTACAAATATAGATATTCAACTGTGAAAATTTCAATGTAATATCCTAATAAACGTCTCTCAGCAGTGTATGCTTGGTATATTCAACTGCTGTCTGGTACTTACCCCGTCCTATGGTAACGTGAATGATAAGAAAGAGGAAGATGTGAAACACAAAATAGTTAGTATTGTGACAATATAGCAAGTATTTTCTGACTAATAAATTGTTCTTACCAGATTCTTTAATGGATGAAAAAGGTAATTTAATTCAGGACAAAATTAGATGATGGATAAAAATAACCAGAGAAATAAAATAAATTAATGTAGTAAACAAATGAAATGGAATGAATGGAAAATAATCTTTTGTATATTTTTTTTCATTACCTTCACTGTTAAATTACGTAATTTCCCATTCCATTCCATCGCTTCCTTCTCCCAGCTTTCCTCTGTCGCTTTCAACCTCTCTTTTTCTTTGATCAGCTCCCCCTTTTCACCTTCATATTCTTCTTCCACCTTCTTCCTTTTCAAATTGTCTAGCCTCTTTCCCCACTTTTCCTTCCAATTATTCAACTATCCTTTCGCTTCTTCATAGTTTACTTCTGCCTTTTCCTTATCTTTTCTAATTTCGTTGTAAGTTGCCATTTTTTAACATTGAAATTGTTTTAAATTTTTAATGATTTAGATTGATTAAATTATTTCTGTGCATAATTTCGACCAATAATAAATTAGTTCGGTTTTTATTTTTACTTTATTATAAACAGGCTGTCGATTATAATTTTTCTGAAATTACTTTAAGGAAAAATATTAAGGTAAAACAATTTTTTTACAACTAATAGGGATACTTGGATTGGTCCCATCATTTCCCTAATCTGGTGTCGGTAATGCATTTTATTACATTACCTATACTTTTTTATGGATAAAATATAGCCCAGTGTAAGTTTTACTTGAGGATGTGTATTTTGGTTATTTACATTCTTAAAATAAATAAATAAAAAATAAAATTTAGTCTAGACGATACTGAATTCATTGAAATGGATAATGGAATCGCATCTCAAAATCATTTGTCATTACAAGCTGAGAATCCTCCGATTAAACTTGTTACCGTTGATACCGGAATTGGGTTATTTTCTAAAAACTTTCCTTCACAAAATAATATGACAACCGATCTTTACAACAAAGCATAATTATTTATGTTAGCTTTTCATCTCTGAGATCAATAATTTTACAAAGCCATTCATTATTTATCAAACAGCAATTTCAAATATAACCATGCAACATGCAATTTTCAATCCAGACTAATACGAAAATTCAATTCATATGTGTAATTCGTCTCATATATAATCAATTGCAATTTGAGAAGCCCACCAATTTTCTGGTATGTGAATAGTTACTGCCAGGCTCGGGGCATGTGACTTGTAACCTTAACTTACACTAACCATAGTGACAAATAATGAGTGACAAATATGGATAATTGATAATTGTTTAACATAATAGGAAATACAATTAATTAATTGATTGTTGCATCAAAATAGTAATCAACGAAAACACAAATGCGCGTGAATATATACAGAAACATGCTATACAATTCCACAATATTTATGATAGTTTCACAATATATATGCAGTATATTTTCACTCATTTGGTTAGGGGGTTAAGGGTGATTACTTTAAAAGTTTAAATATTTTCTCTTTTACACAGTGAACTTTCTTTTTCCTCGATTTTTTTATTTGATAATTAATTTATAGATTAGTAAAAAACTTATTCGAGCGAATTCATCGCTTAATTATCCTTAATATTATTTAATAAAGAATTTTAGTTTTTTTTTTTTTTTTTTTTAAAAAAAAAAAAAAGGTAAATAATGGGTAGTCAAGAAAACACAACAAATACCTCAGAAAAGGGCAGACGACTTGCCAAAGCGCATTATCCTTCATATAAACGAGACAGATTACCAACTTTACAAGAGGTTGTATTACGTAAAACAGCACCTCCAGTATGTTTATTCAACCTTTATCTTTATATGAGGGATGTAGAAAATGCTTCAGAGTATTTAGACTTTTATCTCGATATATTAGAACATGAGATATTATGTAGAGCATATGTAAAAGATCTTAAAAAACTCGGATTGGATGTAAATACGGAATATCCCGAATATGAAAGATATAGACCGGGATCTAAGATGGAAAAAGATGAATTAAAATTTAGCAAACCAATTAATACAGAGAGTGGAGTTCGAAGGCATTTGAGTAGTTCTTCTCGTGGTTCAGATAATACACTTACTTCTAGAGGCCATGATCCTGAGTCTACAATTGCACAAAAAACCTCAACTACACATGTAGTTGATATTCCAATTGACGGTAATAATGATAATAAGCAAAAGCAATATCGAGATTCAGTTCGTTCAAATAAAACAAATACAACAGCTACAACAGCAGGAAATCTTTCATTTTATAATCGTGAAAGGCCATTTACAAGAGATGATCTTCGTGAATCTGCAGAAAGGATATTTTTTAAATATATATTTAGTGGGTCTGAAAAAGAAATTTCACTATCAAGTCATATTAAAGAAAAAATTACTCGCGCTATAGAAGAAGAAGGCATTTTTCAACACAAAAGAGATGATCCTTGGATTTATCACGAGGCTAAAAAGGAAATTTATACTTATATGGAAAAGGAATATTTCCCTAGATTTTTAAAGGCCAGGGCATTTGGTAATATGAATGTCACACAGATTTTGATGAGATTAGGAATAGGTATATTCCTCTTATTTCTTGGTTTCACCATAGCATTAAGTTTGATTTTCTTGAATATAATGCCAAGAACAGTTCGATTATGGGTATGTGTAATTTATGTAAAATGGGTTGAGTAAAAAATTTTTCTTTTATTCTTTCTTTAATATTCTTGTTTCTTTTGTTTGCAGAGTTTCATTCCAATATTTTTGGGTGTTAAAAATTTATTTGTTTGTATAACGAAGCTGAGTCCATTATTTGTCTTGTTAAGAATAAGGTAATATGAGAGAATGTATGTGCATTTATTTTAAATTAATTATTAAAATAATAATTTCTAATTTAGCGAAACGACATTCTTTCAATTTCAACGCGTAATGGAATCATATATATACACATTACATGTAAAGAAAGGAATAAGAATATTTTTACAAAGTTTAATAGTTTCTATAATTATTACAGTGATTTTTGTAGCCGTTCCAGGTCATCGGCTATATAGTTAATTTCAAATAATGTTGATAATAATAATAATAATAATAATAATAATAATTTATTTTTATTTTACTTTTTTTTTAATTTATGAATCCGAAAATAGTGATATTGAATATTTTGTTGGTATAATACGTAGTTTTTTTACATCATATGTATTATTTGCTTTGGTAAGATCGATTTATCTTTTAAATTGTACTTTAAAAAAGGAGTGGAATCAAACCACAAGACCAATCAAAAATTTCTACATCAACTGAGGTAATCAATGTAAATAATAAAATTTCTATTTGTAAATGTAGATCCGTTTCGTTTGCTAGTATCACTAGATTATAAAAAGCTGTCATGTATTTCAAAATTAGACCACGTATTATAAATTCAAAGAAGGCTTTCGACTTTCACTATTTTTACTTAATACTTAATAATCTTGAAACGATAACAATATGATAAATTTTTTAGAGCTTTTCTTTTCGTGGAGATTCTAGGAATAAAAAAAAAAAATTTTTGAATTAGAATATCATATATTTCTTTAAAACGGAGATAAATATTTACCAGGTCCCAATATGCGAAGAAGATGTGGGTTTGATGCTGAAGAAGAATCAAGACTAGATTTAGAGTTATTTGTATTGGGGGGAACGGTTCTTCCCAAACCCATAGGACCAATTAATCCTGGCCTAACATTAACAGAACCTTTTGGACACGCTGTCCTAACAGATGGCTCTCCGCCTCTCCTTTCCATTAATATATAATGCATTTGCATTCTTAATCCATGACAAATGTTCTTTATGCCGTGAATTTCTTCTTGCATTCTCATGCCTTCTGTCATTATAGCAACATTTTGTCTCAACTCTAAATCTGTTAAACTAGCACTTAAATTTTCGATTTCATTTTTCATACGATCATTATCTGATAAAAGTAATTCGTGAATTGATGAGATTGAAGGTTCTCCTTCAACATTTGATGCCAAACCCTTAGGATCTATAAAGTTTGATAACCAATCAGAAATAGCCGAGACTTGACCTTCTAACAAATCCACTGTGTTGCGAAGATCTTGAACAATTGTTTTTAATTGCTGATTTTCCAGATCAAGAGCATCATTACGTTGCTTATACATCTTGAAAAATTCTTTCAATGACTCATAATTACAAGAACCAATGTGATCTGACAGATCATGTTGAAGACCTTCCCAAATACAACCAAATTCCGCATGACGACAAGTGACATATTTGTCTGGACATTCTTCAAGGTGTAAAGTATGTTCTGACTGAATACGTGTCGTATGACAAAAAGGACATTCTATATTTTTGACAGGACAAGTAATTTTATGTCCCTTTATAAAAACGTGTATTAACTTTAATCGTCTAAAATAAATAGACAATCATAAAAAAAAAAAAAAAAAAAAAAAAGGAGAGCGAAATATCAGGTTTAATGAAATAATTTAAAATCTCACCTCTAAAGTAGATAATGGAACTATTTCTTTACAAGTTTCACATTTAACCATTCTAGCTATACAATTTTCCATATGTTTTGATAAATCCCTTTTTAAAATCATTTCTCTACACTCTTCATTATTACATTCTAATTTAGTAAATAAACACTCTTCTTGTAAATGAAAATTTAATAATTGACGTTGTCCTTGATAAAGACATCCATCATTTTTATTAGGACAATAAACCAATAATTCATTAACCATATTCATAATTATTTTTGTAGCAGGTTTAAGTTCATTAACGTTAGAAATATGAGATCGATCAACTGGACAGGTAGATCTAGTTGATAATGCTTGAGTAATGCAGTCCTTGCAAAATGTGTGACTTGAAAGGTCAAAGTATGAAATAAGTAAGCTATTCGAAATTTGATTAATTGATTGCGAAATGGATTAATTATTTTACCCGCAAGTATCTATGACTACAGGATCAACGAAAGGTGTCTGACAAATACAACATATAAGGTTGGAATTAACTGATTCCACATAAGCTATGGAATTCAAATCCATTGTTATAATAATAAGAAAGAAAGAAATACAATTGTCTTTTTAAATTTTTTCTTTTATTTATTAATTTCAACATTGAATCACCGATTCATTGTTCAAAAAAAAATTGCGAGATCTCTATATTCAGATCAATTTTTTTCTTAATAAAGTTGCGGAACAGGTTAAAATAAACAATTAATCACGTGATGCGCAGAATCTTATCATTGAATAACCACAAGATTCACACATGACAATTAGTAGATCTGATTAATATTTATTTTATTTAAAAAAGTTATTTTATCATTAACAACGTCATTTCGATATTGTAATAATCGTTCTCGTAAAATTATTTTTTTCGACTTTCAAAGGAATCATAACATTCTGGAGACTAGTTTATAAGCAACTATCGGACAATATTTATCCGTTCTTATTCTTTAAATTCCCTAAAGCATTTTACTAAACATTTTTTGGTCGTTCTTTTTAATTAAATCACAATCTTTGGTTTCTGCATTTTGGATTTTCGATTCTTCGATCCAAAAGTGTCCTACAATTTAGAGCAGTTCGGTGATCCCAATACGGAATCTTTGCCTGAATCAAACGACGATATGTCTTCAAAGGTAGAAACAAATTATGACTGTTTTTTTCGTGTACCTTATTTTTATTCATTGCAAGATGTTTGTTTCACTTGGATTTTTTTAGATCTAACTTTATTTGGTTGTTTCAATACTCTTTCCAACAACAATAGCCAAGGCCAAAGCAACCCGTATTCAAAGCAATTCCGGTTAATGATGGTAATTTAATGTTTTTTTTTCTTGTTTATAACTATATTATCAATTTATTTATATAATTCAATCTGATTAGATCTTAAATACAAAAGAAAATATAAAGAGCTCAAGAAAAGGATTCGAGAGATGGAAGATGTAATAATAATATGAATTTTTTTTTTTGTTATTAAATTGTTTTATGAGCGAAATTTTGATTAGTTTTTTTTATCCCGATTTAGGAGAATGAAAAGTTGTCACTCAAATTAACTAGAGCAAAGAAGAATATACAACGGTTACGAATAGAGAGAAGGTAACTAAAGATTCCAAGTCAAAAACGTTTCTTATATATACATATTTATGTTATTTTCTTTGCTTCCAATAATTTAGTTTCTTATTCGAACGGTTAGAGCAATCACATTCCAAGAATAATTCTGAATCAGATATAACATCTACGCCTCAGAGAGTGGTAGATTCGGAGGAGGATTTATCTTCAGTGGGTAGTGATAGTAATGACGATAATGGCTCACATACTATATCAATGACAGTTTAAAGCAACGCAGCAACTTTTGTTATAGATTATCAATAAATTTTCTATAATCATTCAATTTATTTAATCATAGAATATTATGTTAATAGCTAATATAGGAAAGAAAATTAGGGAATAATTAAAATTAGCTTAATCCAAATTTGTAATTTACTAACTCTATTTGATGATATTTTATTATTTTTATCTCTTTAAATAGATAATATATATTTGTGTAAATTTTTTTTTTTTTTTTGAAACTATAAAAATTAAAAGGAAATATATTATTGGATATGATTAATCATATGATCATGTGACCGTTATAATGATTATTTAAGCAAAGATCTAAATGAACACTATTTTAATTTCTACTTGGGGAAAAAAAGGAATACGCGACAAATTTTAGTCCTAAATTTTAATACACTCGTTCATAATGTCCACTAGCTTGCAAGAAACTGTTCCAAAACGTCGCGTTGCTATAATCGGTGGCGGACTTGTTGGTGCACTCACTGTATTATATTTTGCCAAGCGTGGCTGGCAAGTTAGTCTTTTCGAACTTCGAGAAGGTAATTAATTTTATAATTTATTTTCACAAGACGAATTAATCAATTATATTCGATATTCAATTATCAGACTTACGTGTACCGGAGAACAAAAAAAATCTTTCACACAGGTCAATTAATCTAGCTTTATCTGCTCGTGGCCTAAGCGCCTTGAAAAATATTACACTCGGCCTTGATGAAAAAATATTGGAACACGTGATTCATATGAAAGGGAGAATGATTCATTTAGGCGAAGGTAAACTCAAAAGCCATCCATATGGTGTTTTCGGTGAGGTAAGAACTTTTCTCTTAAATGATTTTATTCGCTATTATATAATGAACTTGGATAAAAATTTTACAATTATAGTGTATTTATTCGGTGGAAAGAGAAATTCTTCTCGAATTGCTTTTAAATACAGCCGCTAAGTCTACGAATGTCAAAATGTATTTCCAACACCAGTTGAAACGATGTAATTTTGATGATGGAACTTTAGAATTAGAAAATAAGTAAGGTATTGTAAATTTGCTTATTGTGACTATTTGTTGAACTAAATACCTTTTCGTTTAGGAAAACTGGAAACCCATTCCAAGATTCAGCAGATTTAATTATAGGTGCTGATGGCGCGTTCTCTGTTGTTCGAACCCAACTAATGCGCGTTGTAAGGTAAATTATTTATTTATTTGTAAGAAATATAAACGATATCTTTTTAAATATTTAAGGATTTTGGATGTAGGATGGATTACTCACAGGAGTATATTTCACATGCTTATCTTGAATTAACCATTCCACCAAGAGTTAATGATAAAGGTGAAAAAGAATTTGCAATGGATCCTAATCATTTACACATTTGGCCGC